TAAACACGTAAAGGAGACAGAAACACGGAATACCAGATCAAACAACTCAATCCCGCAAACACAAAACACTCATGCAGACCACTTCACACACGAAGGTAAAGAGAACGCACCTGGGGAACGTCAGTTACAACTGATAGCCAGACCAACACGGTCAGCAGCAAGAGCAAAGCGGGGAAAGGGGATGAATCAAGTAAAACACCAAAGAATCACATAAAACCGGAGGCACCCGGCAACCTAGGGTGTTTATCGCCAATTTACCTGAGCGAGAACCCGAGGGTGGACTTCTCGACTTACCACTTAGACGGAGATCTGCGGCGGATGGCGGCGGAGGAGCTCCCGGGCTGTAGGCGAGGATGACAGGAGTTCCGGCTCTGATACCACTGTCAGGTTTTCACCTCTCCAGCTCAGACCACGCTCATACAGCACACACACCAAAGCACCACCGGAAGGGACAAGAACACTCAGACCAGCCCAGCCATCTCAACGCACGCCAAAGGTCAGAAAAGGGGAAGCACAGAGAGAGTACCACCGATGGACCGGAATAGAGAAGAGACAGAAGTCTCTCTCACTCTCTCTTAACCTCACTCTCTCTCTCTAACCGAAGACCTCTACGTCAACCAAAGGCGTAGAGGAGTTTAAGTACCCGGGCAATAGGGGAAGCCCTAAAAGAGGGTTCCAGAAGAAGGGCTAGCGGCAGAACAACATGGGCCAGGGCAGAGGTAAGCAAACAGGCCCAACAAAGAAAGGAGAGGGCTGCATTGGCCCGTGGGGCCAATACCTCCACACGAATAATATTGATTGCAATGTATTTTGTTCATATATTGCTAAATTTTGTTAACGTCATCGCTTAGACATTTATTAGTGTATCTATACATTAAAATATTTCTTAACAAAAGTGGGTCTTCATGCTTTTAGAGATCGAAGTGAATTGTCCTTTCATTAACAAAAGTGAATTTTCAATTTGGAACAATTGAAGTTGCACTGCACGTAAACCGAATATAGGAGCTAAAGAGTATGATTTATATCCGAGAGCTGTGATTTAGATAAGGCTAAATCTGTATTTTAGAGAACAAAGTGAAACAGCCAAAAGAAAAAAGCTAAGTTTAGTAGAGTTTTGATTTTTGGCTGATTGACATAAAAAGCCAATAGGAAAAGTTGATTAACCAAACACCTAAATAGCTATTTGAAATGGTCAAAAAGCCAATTGATGGTCAAAACAGCCAAAAATTGGCTGATATGCCGATAACCAAACACCCCCATGGTATATAATACAGGACTTTTGATATTTTTTTAAATTCTGATATGATATATTTTGGACTCCGGCAAATCGCATCGTCATTAAAAAATAATATTTTTTGAAATTATTACAAATCTATGAATAAAATAAATGTTTTTTCTTTCAAAAAGTGAACTCTTAAATGTAGTGACGATAGTAGTGACTTAGTCATAGTAACTTATGTTCAATTTTTATATTTAGTGGCCATGACATACACTTGTATGAACTTCACTTACATGTTTGTAAAAAAAAATAATTTAAAAATGTTTTTGTAAAAATCTCTTTTTATTTTTAAATATATTAGTATCTAAAGTAACATAGATAAATATATTTAAATACCTATCTAAGAAAAGTTATTTAAATAGTACATAGAAAAGCAAAAAAAATGCCTAGAAAAAAAAAAGAATTTTAATGGAGAATTTGACTTCGTACCCTATTTTTGGTGACATTTGACTTTGCACATATTTTCACAATCATTATTATATACACCTCAATTCACTATAAAATCATTTGACTTTCACACCACACTCCTTCACATTTTTTGGATTGATGGGGTGCACACATTAATGATTTTGAAATTACATGAGATACAAAGTCCTATATCACCCGAAATATGAGGTGCAAATTAGTCAAATTCAACCATTTTTTAAATTGAAATATGGTTTTATCTATAAGTTTTTCACTTCATCACAATTGTTTTGTATTAAATTAAGTCCCCATGATATTGTGTTAATGACTACGTTGAAATTAAATATGACTTATACACTCCTATTTAAGAAAGATTTATTCCTTAAATAGAATCAAATAAGTCATATTATGGGAAACATGTATGAAGAAAATTATATAAATATCTCAAATTTTGAAAGAGTGTGAAAAATACCCAAACTTGCATTTATAAAAATATAAAAAATACCCAAACTTGCATTTAAAAAAATACCTCGAATTTTATATAAAAAATATTTTCTCACCATGAGTGTGTGTTTTTTAACAAATATAAATTTATTTGAATAAATACATAATTTAAAATACTTTGAGCTCTGTTAGGATGCAGTTAACATTCTTCTTGAAATTTCATTTGTGAAATAAATAATATTACATTCGGTACAATCTACTTTTAATTGCATCCTCACAAATACTTTGTGTATTTTAAATTATGTATTCACACCATAAAATTACTTGTATTTGTGGGGAAAAACATATGATCATGGTGTTAACCTAATTTTTATATAAAGTTTGAGATATATATTTTACATTTGCAAGTTTGGGGTACTTACCACATACTCCTAAAAATTTTGAAATATTTAAATTACTTTTTCCAAAACATATTTACTCTCATTTTAAAATTTTCTTAATGTTTTAGTCCTATTTTGTGCAATTCTCTATACTATGTATCTTTTTCATGAACTCCCTATTGTCCCAAGTAGCTAGAGAGTGACGGCCTAGGCCAATACTGAGAAAAATATTACGTAGTACATACCTGTGAAACAACATACATATACATTACAAATTGAGACCCACTGATGGAGTATATATATTGTCACATAATCGAGGGTCACAACCTCGCATGCCTCAATAATCAACTAAAGCATTACTACCCGGTTGAGGCTGACCGCATTGAGGCTGAGACTGAGGTGTGCTCTGAGATCCACGAGACAAGTCCAAAATCATGGCCAAGCTGAGCTGAGCCGAATCCACCCCAAATCAATATATCAACTACAGAGATGAGCCCAGATCTACCTGAGCCAACTGCCAGAGCCAACTGCCACTGCACAGGGGATGTATATTGTCCAACCCAAACCCATTGTACTAGAGCTAAAGCATCCAAATTCTTGAGCTAGACTCCCTCACGGTCGAGCTGAGCTCATCCACATCTGAGCTAAGACCATTGTTTAGATGCGTGGACTTGGACGTTTCAAGCATACACTCCGGATAATCATAAACAAATTTCACAAGAAAATAATCAACTTTAGGTCTAACGTCATCGACTCAGTTACAATATTCAGTTATGTGTTGTACATGTGTGACATATTCAAGCATTTTCTTAGCAAAGGATCATAAATTCTTAATCTATACCAATCAATCAGAATATTCCCTCGTCAATTAGCCCTATGGCTCTAATTGGATCCAACGCTCCCAATTAGGTTTCTTTTAACAATTCTTTGACCAGTCCAAAGTCTATATATCACAGAAATCCTATTACTCGAACCCAGGGGCAGATTGGGTTCTAGGCTAGTGAGGGCCTTGGCCCACACTCAAAAAACGTTTTTTACTACGGAGTAATAAAATATAAAAAAATGTTGGAGTAATACATCCCAGTCCGAATCAAACACGGTGCATCGCTACATCGGTGCGGAACTAGGGATGGACCGGTTCCGGTTCGGGCCCGGTTCAGGCCTGGGCCCGGCTGGGCCTCGGTTCATGAAAGGGGAGACCCGGAACCGGCCAGGGTAACCACGGGTCCGGACCGGATCGGGCCGGGCCTCGGTTCTTGTTTTTTTTTGGCTTTTCCTAATTAACCCCCAACCCTCCCCCTCACCCCCAAACCACCCCAAACCACCTCAAATGGCCCATCATACCCAGCCCAACCCAAAAACTTAAAAAAATTCAAACAAAAAAGAAAAAAAAAATTGGACCGGATCGAGCCCGAATCGGCCGGGCCGGTTCACGATTTAGGAGACCCGGCCCCAGCCCGCCTACCTCACCGGGCCGGGCGGCCCGAAACGGGCACCAACCGGTTCACCGGCCCGGTCCGGGCCCGCATAGTAGCAGACCGGTCCGGTTCCGGCCGGTTGGCCCGGCCCGAGTCCACTCCTATGCGGAACTTTATGATGTTCGGATATTCCAAAGGCCGAAGGCCAAAAATTAAAACTTGCCTATATGTGAAATGCCCAAATTGCAGCAAATTGACATTCAAGCACCGAGCCCTTGGTCCCTGCCTCTAGCCGCTAGGTCTCCAAAAGACTCTGGCTGACTCGCTCTCTGGCTCTCTGCGACTGTGCTCTACGCCTCAGAACACTCGTGTTCTGGTCTTCCATTTGAGGTAGGTTTTTTAATGATTTAATTTGATTATATTTTTTATTTCACTGTTGGAATAGAGCTTTTAAGATCAGGAATTTCAGCAATCATAAGGGCATCCTCATCCATGAGTTTATTTGAAGATCAATCAGATGATGTGTAAGATTATTTTAAAGATTATCATTGTGAGTGGAAGATTATTTAGTGAGATTATTGAAAAAGAAAATCCGATATCAAGATTCAAATCCCGAATTATTTTAGATTATAGTTAAAATACATTTAATGCATGTCCGGAAAAAACAGATTATTTGAGTATTATTGTTGATGAAGAGTTTTAAACTTTGAGATCATTTAAAATTTATTGAATAAATGTGATGTGGCAATGATGTGTAATAAAAAATCTTTTATTTAGAGAGTATGAATGGAGATGCTCTAAGGGTTGAAGGGTTGTAAGCCTTTAATGGCTTTAATAAAAAATACGTAGTAAAGTTTATTCTTTATTCTTCCAAAGTTCACGGGCAAACCCAGGAAAGTCATCTGGTGGTTGAAAATATTTTTTGAGGTTCAAAATATTTTTTCGGAAGGAGAAAATTATTTTTCATATATATATACAGGGGCAGATCACTGTGAGGGCAGGGGTGGGCTTCAGCCCAGCCCAATTTTTTATTTTTTTATTAGTATAGGTATAGCTCTAATTATCAGCCCATTCCAGCCCAAAGCTACCAGTACCTGACTTGCGGACTTGCGGTCTTATGCGAATTGGTCGATTTGCGCAGAAAGAAGGTTGAAGAGACGAAGCGAGTTGTGAGTTGGGACGAAGCCACGAACACCAGGCACCAACCGACCTACGGCCAGATTCCGCGCTGCCGTCCACGCATCCAGAGCCCTGCACCCCTGCGTTGTCCGTCTTCCCTCTCCAGCCTCTAGGTGACTACGTCTTAAGTTTTAGACTTTTAAGTTTTAATTTATTGTTTTGCGACTTTGGGTTGTTTATTGAGTATTACTACGTATTATTTTTGAGTTTGTCAATCTATTTAATTATTAATTGAATTTTACAGTACACAACAAAATAATGTTTATTATTATAAATTTATAATGATTAGGGATAGCATTACACATTAGAAAATAATTTATTTGTTGTGTGGACATATAGAAAAATTAAAAATCTGTAGGGAGTCTAAATCTGCACAATTGAAGATTACAAAATGATTTGTTTGGACATGTAAGAAAAAAATTAAAAATCTCAATTCAATTTTGAAACTGGGAATACTTATTAATTTTATGTACAACGTTTGTTTTTACGTATTAGTTTTATACTTTTATTGAAGTATATTAATTCATACTAATAAATAATAGAATCTTAAGTAACCACTAATCAATTTATAAAATCACACTAAAAATGTCGTAATGTTAAGATATACTACCCGATAGGCTCGGGTCCGGATCAAACTGAACATCACTATGCTTTCACTCGGCTTGAATAACTATTCGAAGTCAAAATCTAGATCATGTTCGATTTTAAAACTCGTTAAGCTCGGGTCGTTTATTTAAATTTGAAATCATACTTGAATTCGAGTAGTTTGAAAAAAGTTCGCTTCAATAGCAACCCTAACATAATTTTTTTTGTGCAACAACAATTTTTTACCGCTTAGCCCATCCCACTCCTCATTCCTGGATCCGCCCCTGTATATATACACTAAAAAAATTTCTTGTTGGGGGCGGTAACCCCCTGGGTCTGTACTACGGTCCGCCTCTTCCAAAGTTCCATGCTTTGCACTTTATAAAATTAGTAGTATATTATAACTATGTTGATGTATGATTGTATCAATGCTGATTTGAATGTGATTGTGATTTATAAATTGTGATTTCTGATTTACATTAGGATGGATTTCATTCTAATATGTTATTATTAATGTCATTTTTTAGTGTTAATTGCATATTCTCACTCATGAGTTTTTTGTATTATTGTACTAATTCAATCTCTTTTAATAAAGGTAATGAAGAGTTTTTATGATCATGTTGAAGTAGGAACTAAGAAATATAGCTCATCAAGAATTGTGCTAGGCTCAAGTAAAATTGAAGAAACTTCAAATAGAAATGATAACAAAACAACATTGGAAACACAAAGTCATTTAATGGTGAAGAGTTTGATTCTTCCCAACTTTCATCTTAGTAACCGGATGAGTAGAAAAAGACATCTTCTTGAAAATTGACAATGATGTCATTATCAAACGGTATCAGTCGATGAACTCCCGTAAAGAACAGTTGTAAATTTATTGGGTGCTTGTATTTGACTTTGATGAAAACTCTTATTTTTATAGTATTGTATTTTGTCTTTGGCTTTTTTTGTTGCAACACATGTTATTTTATATCTTTAAAATTTTGACCCCACCTGGATGCAAATGCTAAATCTGCCCCTGCTCGAACCCCTAAACATTTTACAGATACTTCACGCTCCCTCATCTATTTCAACTATGTCTTCTCTTTCTGGTTAGTGTGGCACACATGGGAGGATTAGGCCTAGGGTCATGTAGGGCCCAGGCTCACCCTCATTTTTTCGTAACTAGTACTATCGTATATATATAATGAGAAATTCTAAATGCAGTCCTTATTTTACTAAACACAACCCCCGATTAAAATTAATTAAGTAAATATAAATAAAATGCCTATTATATCCTTCTTGTTTTCCAACATCATTTTGTTGGCGTGAGGCTCTATCTTCAGTCCTCTCACATTTCTGATGCCACTTGGAGCAGGTAAAGACGTAGTTGATTTATCAACATCCACTTTTTCTCACACTTTTTTCTCTTTTACGTTTCTTTTATCCCCTAGCCTCTCCTTGCCACCCTCTAAAAGTTTACCTATATTTACATTGGGCGCTCTAATAAAGATGAAATGCAAATTCCATCCCATAATGAAGTGATTTATACTTTATACTCAACTCGTTGTTAGGCAGCCAATCTCCCAAACTTCACTGGTCCGGCTACTCAAATCTATTTGGATTCGAGCTGAAGTCCTCATGGGAAACAGGTCTCAGCTGGAGTTTGTCAAAGTTTAGAGCCAAGACGTCTTGCACCCACTCCTCTAGGGTTGTCTGCCCGCGCCACAGTCCTGCTAAAACGTTGTCTATTGTATCGTCTTCTACTTTAAAGAGAGATTTTTCGTCGTAAAGCGCACAGTCGAATGAAATGGCTGCTCACTGTGTCTCGACGGTCCCGTCTGCCACCGCCAAATTCGCATAGATGTATTCAACTTTCCATGGAACGGTGCTCCGACCCGAATCTCACTGCAATCTATTCATTCCGGATCCTTTCTTTCAAAGCAACCCATGAAGTGTAAATCAATTTAATTTAAATGATCTCCGCACATTCACATATCTATCCTGATCTTAATCCACTTTCTATTCGGTTACATATACTCCCAAACGTATAGTTGTTGTTTTTTTGGTTTTCAATGCAATCAACTGGTTTTTCTATTCCGACAAAAATGACGTCGTTAAGGAGAACAAAGGCAGCGGATAAATGTGTTGAAGATGACAACATTTGGCTTAGTATTGATATATCAGGTCAAATGTCCACGATTAAGGAATCAGTCTAAAATCGGAAGAAGAAGCTCCCTGACTTGTCATTTTGGGTCTTCCGGATAATAATGATTAAATTTGGGTGATAATATTAAAGGACAGTTTTGGAAATCTGAAACTTCTCCCAGCCCAAAATTAAAACAGTGGCCCAAATACCCAATCAGACACACTCACACACGTGCTACTCCAATTCTCCAAAGCAAGGGTGCAGCCGCGCAGACTCCATCGCAGAATCGCTAATAGGCAATTGAAACGGCCAATCGCTGCTCCGTTGAGTGTTCGCTTACTTCGTTGGTGCTGGTAGGCCATCGGACAGTCGGAGCACGACGGCTGAGAAGTGAGCACCTCTAACCTCTATTACAGTTTATACTTCAACCGGGTTTAAGTAATATAAATGATGCTCACTCATTAGCTTCTACTTCAATCGGGTTTAGCTTCTACTTATTACATTCATACTACTTACATTTTTATTATTTCATTAACTAATGCCCGATGTATTATTACAAAAGATTGTAGTAGATTCCAGTTTACATTTAAATGCCTTTTTTAGTTTATTATCTTGAGATGATTTCGTTGAGTGTTGACTTTTTAAAAAGAGAAGGAATAATTTTCTAGCTCAATGCTTATTGCTTTCAGCTGTAGTGCTATACTGATTTATTAAATAAAGCTTGCTTTTGATCTATGTTCAATAAAAAGAACCATTCTCTTGATGATTAATTGTAATTTCTATGCAGCCTTGCGATTGTGCAATTATGTTCTTTTAACTGCTTTATAGTCATCATAGTTTGGGTGCTCAACAGAATCTGCATTTGGGTAATTAGAAAATGGCGAGTGCTCTAGCAAGTAAGGCAGCATTGGGGGATCGAATGTCTGCCTTATTCAGGCTGTCTTGCAGCTCCTTGAGATATTTGAGCACCTCTCCCAAGCCAGCGGTTGCACCTGACCTGAAGAAGCCAAATTTGAAAAAGAAGAAGAAGAAGAACCTCTTTGAGGTGGTGCAGTTCTTGCCAAACTGGGGAATCGGCTATCAGTTGGCTAAAACTCACTGGACCGATGTTTCCTATCGAATCACCAAGATCAATCTTTACAAGGTAACTATATTCTTTCACGATTTTGAGCTGTAGTATTTGGCCTTTTGATTTATTGTAGCATTAATATCAATATTAATATTTCTAGTCATGGGACTATTGCAGAGTGGAACACACGGAAAGGCTTGGGGCATTGCTCATAAAGATGGTTCGTTACTTGTCTGATTGTTTTTTTATATTCAAATTTTACTTTGTTTCATTAATATTAGCTTATCATCATATCATATCATGCAAGGAGTATCAGTAGATGTTCTACATGGTTTAGAAAGGCTTTTTTGAGCCACTCTCTTGGCTGCTCATCTCAAAGGTGAATAAAGGCTTGAGACTGCGAATGAACCGAGTCTTTAGCCTCTCATGGTTGGGGCATTTCTGAAGCTTAAGCCGGGAGGTGCTTTCTTAGGCGAAAGCCTCATACTTTTTACTTTTCAATTATAAGGTTTTTTCTTAGGCTAGATAATTTTTAGTAAAATTATATTGAATCTATTGTTTTGGCTTGAAAATATGATGGAATAAAGCAAAATGGCTCACTAAACTGTCTGCACTTCTTTGTTATGAAGTTGAAGTCAGTCCATTCAATTTTGGACGCGATTTTCACTATAGGTCATCCGGAAACAGTCTCTCTGTGCTTTAGTATAGGGGTAAGACTGCGTACATCCGACCCCCCTTACCCCACTGTAGGTGGGAGCCTTTGCGGCACTGGGGTAATGATAATGATGATGACGATGATGATATTGAATCTATTGTTTTCCTAAAAATAGTCACTAAGCCTTAATTATATTTTCCAAATCAACAATTATCATCACACAGCTCTACCTATAAAATCAAAATAACCGACAAGGCTAAAACTACTCTGAACTCCTGTAGAAGCCTGAACATTTATTGCAAAGTTACTGAGTTACCATATATTCACTCCAGCGAGCTTCAAAGAAGAAAGAACTATATTAAGTCCAGCTATTTTTATCTTTTGATTCGAAAGTAGCAGTAGTAACACACCTTTTTTAACTTTTTCTTTGTATTCAATTTGTTCCAGAATATCAAAAGTTCAAGGCTCCAGTTATTTCTTCTATGTTTTTCTCAGTTGAACAACGTATTCAATTTTCTTCGGGACAATGAATCTTAAATACTTTTCAAAACTTATGATAGTGGCTTGTGGCACTTTTATATGTTTCATTTGTATGTATAAATGTATAACTGATAACATGTTTTAGATGTCAGTTTTTTGAAATGTAAATGAAATTTTGCATAAGGTTTGAGGGGTTAGGCCTCAAACCGCCTCGTGCCTTACACATTGCCTTATAACTGCAAATAGTCTCAAGGCTTAAAAGTGACTTTCTAAACTTTGATGCTCAGTAAGGCGGAAAGCTTAAGCTATTGATTAACCAGAGATGTGATTGAAAATGTTGATTTTATAACAGATCATTGGAAGTCGTGATCCTGCAAGAGTAATCATTTCACTCATTTGTTTACTTTACAATACTCCTGGGGCTTTCTTGCATACTCTTCCCCTTTTTCTTTTTGGTTCTTAGATGTTCTTCCACTTTCCTGATCTTCAATAACGATTTCTTGTATATTTTATGATCATGTACTATATGATACGCACAGGCAGTCCGATTGCCGAAGCACCCAAAAAAATTAGCGGGGTCAACAAACGCTGCTGGAGATACATACCAAACTCACACAAAGCTGAAGAATGCACCCCGAAGCATGAAGTTCAGTCTGCCTAGTTTCGCTCATATCCTTCATGGATCAACTGCATCATTGTTCATGACTTGAAAGTGGTGTGTGTCTATTGAAATTTTATACGTCAGGGAATTGCCTCATAGAATGGAGTCCTAAGCAATCAGAGTTAATGTTTTTTTGTTTGGTCTTTATTAGCATTCAGAAATGAATAACTGAGCATACTTGTTGTGAAGCTATTTTCAAGAAAAAGTCATTGTTCATAATTGGGATTGCATTAATAAAAAAAAAAGTATCCTCCGTATCATCTTCGTAATTTTTGGATCACATCATATATGCATGTCTTCTCGTACTTTGAGGATGCGCCTTGTTGCGCCATTGGTTCTAGCTTCCGTAGATTGCATATTACTTGTTGGCAGCTGTGTTTTCTCCCCTTCTCTGCTTCCCACTAAAGTTGGGTTCTCATTGGTAAATTGGGTTGTCATGGTTAAAAGTAGGCATGGACCGGTTCGGGCCCGGTTCGGGCCTGGGCCCGGCCGGGCCTCGGTTCAAGAAGGGGAGGCCCGGAACCGGTCCCGGTAACCCCCGGGTCCGGGCCGGGCCGGGCCTCGGTTCTTTTTTTTTTTTTTGGCTTTTCCTAGTTAACCCCCAACCCTCCCCCTCACCCCCAAACCAACCCTAACCACCTCAAATGGCCCAAAATACCCAGCCCAACCCAAAAACTTAAAAAAAAATCAAAAAAAAAAAATTGGCCCGGCCCGGGCTCGAACCGACCGGGCCGGTTGGCCTGAACCGGGCCTGAAACCGGTTCACCGGGCCGGGCCGGGCCCGCACAGTAGCGGGCCGGTCCGGTTCCGGGCCGGTTGGCTCGGCCCGAGTCCACCCCTAGTTAAAAGTTATAAATATGATTCCAATGGTAAAATTATCTGTTTAGAAACACAGTATGTGTTTAAATGTAAAATGCGTATAGCTAGGATATGAATAATGTTTGTAATTTTTTAATGGTGCTAAAAGTAATAACACTAGAACTGCAAAAACTTACAACTGAGCAAAGTAGTCAACCTAGGGATGGACTAAATTGGGCCGGCCCGGCCCAGAACCGGCCCGGAATCGCTACTGTGCGGGCCCGGACCGGGACCGGTTGGCCGGTTCCGGGCTTTTAGCCCGTTTGGGCGGGTCGGGCTCGGGCCCAGTTTTGGGTGAACCGGTCCGAGCCCGGGCGGGGCGGTTCGGTCTGAGCTCGGTTCATTTTTTTTCAATTTTTTTTCTTTTCCTAGGGTAGGGTTGGGTGTTTTAGGGAGGTTTGGGGGTGGGGGTGAGGGGGGGGGGGGGTCGGGGGATAACAAGAAAGCAAAAAAAAAAAAATTAGACATTGAACCCGGCCCGGCCCGGCCTGGTTAGGCCAGGACCCGGTATCAACCCGGGCCGGTTCCGGGCCCAAGTATTTGCATAAAAAGCCCGCCCGGCATACTTTTTAGTATTGGTCTAAAATGATTATAACTGAGCAAAGTAGCCCTTTTTGACTACTTAGCTAGGGTATGTTGACTGTCAACCCTTTTTAATATTGGTCTAAAATGATTATATTAAAAGATAAGTATAATATAAGCAAGCAATCAACATCAATAAAATGATTGCATTATATGCATACTAGTTACTCCGCCCGTGCGTTGCACGGGATTGAAGTACGTAGGATATAAGAGTTTAGATGGGATTACATAAAAATAAAAAACTTGATAGCAAATGTTTAAATGTAATTAAACTGTTATGTATAAAATGTTATTAAATTTCTATTAATGTAATTTTTCAAAATATAAACTTTTTATAATATTTTCTAATACGTAACTAAATATAATTACAATCAAAGTTCTGTGTCGACAAACGTGAAAGTCAAACTGTTGCAAATTGTAAAGAATGAAGGATAGTACAAAAAATCATATTTAATAGGAAATTAAAAAATGATGCTCGATGTTCAATCTAAAACCATCATGCGATAAAATAAATGCACACTCATGTCCATGAAATTGTCAAGGGAAACTACAACTTACTATAAATTTTTATTATACAATGTTCAATGTAGACTTGGTTGGTTGTGTGTCTTCGTCATATATCACAAACTGTAACCCAAATAGACGTGCTACTCATGAGACCACCATGTGCAACTATCCAATCGTAAGAACATGCCGACATATGAAGATTTCAACCTTTTCCAATGACCGTCTTTGTTTTTTTACTGCTCATTGCATAACTAACCATGAACGGGAACTGTCTGTGAATAGGAATCTAACGTCTCATGGTGTTAAAATTGAGGAATAAGAAACTTTTTACCGGCATTTTCTCCATTTAAATGAGTTCCAATTTTAGTCAACAGAAGTCGTGTGTCGGATTAATAGTTAGTTCATCCAACTCACAGAACATCCTTGGAGCCTCATATACTTTTGAGGACAGAACTTCATCATAAGAATTAAAAGATCTACTTATTCACCTTTGTATCATTAATTAAAAGCTTGTTTTGGTGTATAATAGGAGAATTAAGAATCAAATGAAGTCATTAATGAGCAATTAAAAAATCTATAGAATCACGATTTCAATTACCCCTTGCTCTTTGTTCAACTAATATAATTACAATCAAAGTTGTGTGTTGGCAAACGTGAAAGTCAAACTGTTGCAAATTGTAAAGAATGAAGGATAGTACAAAAAATCATATTTAATAGGAAATTAAAAAATGATGCTTGATGTTCAATCTAAAACCATCATGCGATAAAATAAATGTACACGTATGTCCATGAAATTGTCAAGGGAAACTACAACTTACTATAAACTTTTATTATACAATGTTCAATGCAGACGTTGGTTGGGTGTCTTCGTCCTATATCACAAACTTTAACCCAAATAGACGTGTTACTCATGAGACCACCATGTGCAACTATCCAATCGTAAGAACATGCCGACATAGGAAGATTTCAACCTTTTCTAATGACCGTCTTGGTTTTTTTACGGCTCATTGCATAACTAACCATCAACGGGAACTGTCTGTGAACAGGAATCTAATGCCTGATGGTGTCACAGTCGACGAATAAGAAACTTTTTACAAGCATTTTCTCCATGCATCATCTGAGCATCGATAAATGAGCTCCAATTTTAGTCAGCAGGCGTCGTGTGTCGGATTAATAGTTAGTTCATCCAACTCACCGAACATCCTTTGAGCCTCATATACTTTTGAGGACAAAACTTCATCATAAGAACTAAAAGATCTACTTATTCACCTTTGTATCTTTAATTAAAGGCTTGTTTTGGTGTATAATAGGAAAATTAAGAATCAAACGAAGTCATTAATGAGCAATTAAAAAATCTATAGAATCACGATTTCAATTACCCCTTGCTCTATGTTCAATTAATATACATAACATACTAACATTATAATCCCTCCGTCCCACTGGAGTTTACCAACTTCCTTTTTTTGTTTGTTCCAAAAACTTTGCCGCTTTCCTTTTAAAGCAATGAATTTGCGACTACATACATTTCTCTCTCCTCTACACAAACCTCAATCACACAATTTTTATTATTCTACTTTCCCACCCAACATCATCTTGATAAAGTTGAGTGGGACAAATGTAATATTTCTTAGGTAGTGTTCCAATTAGGGGTAGACTCAGCCCCGATTCTGGTTTTGGACCGCCATTCACTGTTATTGGTTAAAGAAGATTGGGTCTGACCCGATTATATCCGAGCGGTAAATTCCAATCAAGACCCAGTCCAGACCCAATCTTGTTTTTTTTTGTTTTTGCTCATTTCCAAGGTCAAAACCTGAAATTAGAAATCTCGAATCCAATCCAGTCTCAAATGTGCTGCACCTGATTCCACGCCGAGTCCACCCTAACTCCAATAGTGAATACTAATGTCTCATAGTATTCATGAATTTATAATTTATAACACTCCTTCATAAAAGTATTGATGAAATTTATGTGAAAGTGTGATCTCCTAAAAATCGTGCACAACATGAATCCCATAAATCAAAATGCATATCAATGCAAGAAATTAAATTAAAAAGAGAACTCCTAAAAATCAAAGTCACAAATCAATTTTAGCATCCTTTAACTTCTTGGTTGCGGAGCTCTTTGCTCAAGAAATTTTCATGTTTTCTTTAATAGCATTCTTCTTGGATAGAACCGCCTTAGAGGTATGGTGAGAATCGATTTCTATTGAGTGGAGAATCTGTAAAAATAGCAGGCGCTTGATTAGTGTCACTTCATTAAATTCATGCATATAATAATCTCTTCAAAGCAACATTCTCAAGATTTTAGCACATTTGATTCAACATTTGCATCTTGATCACACATCAAGTCAAGATCGGAGTGTGAATTGTACACCGAATAAAAGTTCTACAGATTCTAATGGTAGACACTTACAATATTGCATCATAGGGGCATCGTTAACTGTAATACAAACATAGGCCAACAGTTTGAAAAGAAAATTGCAGAAAAAGAGAGTTTAAGATTTTCAAATGCGAACTTGTTTTTATATTTATGTCAAACTAAGTTCGAAACATAGTAATATAGAAAGTGCCTCGAAACTCAATGAAAGAGGAGGGATTAAAAGATCAATCTACATTTAATGGAAGTGAGATACAAAGTGATAGAGTATATCTCCTGTGATAGAGTATATCTCCTGAATTCTAGAGAGAAGTGAGAGCTAGAGAGAGAAGTGCAATATATGCTTCAATAGAATGATTTTGTAACCCCTATAACTACTCCCAAGGGGAGTATTTATAGAGAAAATTAGGGTTGGGCCCCCAAGCCTTGGGCTTGGGAGGCCCATTTACAACTGGACCGCTACTGGGCCGAATACAAAGCCTCTAATGGGCTGTACAAATGAGTAAGTATAGAATCCGATTCTGGGAGGTCTTCGTGGCCGACGAGGGCGTGGCCGACGAGGGCACGGCCGACGAGGGCACGGCCGACGAGGGCACCCGAGCCCCTTAAACTCAGGAACGTAATCTGAGTTGGCCCCTTTTCGGCCGACGGGGGCGTCTTGGCCGACGAGGGCGCCACTCTGTTGTCTTGTGCTCTGTTCTTCCGAGTATGTGGGTCCTGGAGCTCAGACTCATATACTCCATCAGGAGTCCCCCACTCTCTAAGCTGAGACATAGACGAAGTGAAGGAGAGTAGATTTCTGTGCTTTGTTGCTTTTGGCCGATATACTCCGTTAGCCGTTGCGGTATTGGCGCTGTTTCCGTTTTGGTGATCCTGTTATGTGCTTTGGCCGTCACCTGCTCCTCGCTGTGGGCGGGGAGGCCGTTGTTTCCTTGACGTGTCCGTTTGAGGTCGATGAGTGTCTTGTTCCGATGTCGGCCGTTGAAGGCGCGCTTTTCCTTTCCTGGACGTTGGT